CGTCCTGATTAAGTTGTGCTTGCGGTTCCATGATGGTGTTAAGGTATTCCCACCACGGTATACTAGGATAGGACGTATACAATTCATTCACAGACATAGGATTGTAGAGGAGAGTCATGTTGCGTCGTTTCTCTTTGGGCAGGGAGATCTGCGTTCATATTTATCCGGTTAATCAATTAATATTAATTTCAATAGATCAACGATTTGGAAAATATTTTTTCAGCGGAACTTTAATTTATAGTTACTTTGTATTGATTAATAACTGTAAGAATAACTTACATTTGCAAGCTTAATTTCAAATTCAAGTGATTCTTTTAATTCAGTGCGAGCTCGGTCCGGATTAGCCCCGAGAATAACAGCGATGTCCACCATGTACTCGTAATATGCCTGTACTATTTTCTCGTTGAAACCTTTCAACAGATATTCGCGCGAAAGACCGAGCGATGCTTGACCGAGCTTTAAAGAATTATAAATTTTTATTTACTGATTGGAGAAACGCAATTTTGGCTTCGAAAATAATTTGTATCATTATATATATATATATATATATATATATATATATATATCACTTTACTTATTATTATTTCATTTTATATATGATTTTTAATTTTTAAATTATGATTTTCATTCCGCGTTTATTACGATATTTTAGGATAAATTACGTGCTTACGGTGATTAAACGTCTCGAATTATTTTTCCAGTCGATATAAACACTGAAACTGATGAAGTATTTAATGGGACAGCCTAATCTGCGGAATCTATAAACGGAATCTTTCCAAGTGAAGTTGCCCTCGTTCCATCTTTTACCGTTCAAAACGGGCCAGCCACCGAGTTTCTTTAGGCTGTTCAATAATGGCGTCAATCCTCTTTGCTCGATAGCGGCTGAAACAAACAGCATTTAAAAATGAAAAAAGACATTCTTGATTTTTTTTATTCCCTTTTTGACTGATATTACGAAATGCTTTAAAAGTAGGACTTATATAAAATAAATATGATGCAGTTATTTTTCTAATACGTTATATGTTAAAGTATTTCAATTATATGCCGTATTTTTTTTTCGAGAGAGAAATATACTAAGGTCAAAGCTTTATATAATTTTGTTAAATTATCAATAGAAATTTCAATTTTAATGTTAATGGTGCTATGAGTTCGTTGGATTCATTAAAAAAGTTTATTGCGTTTTTCGAGTTTAGCGATTTAAAGAGAAAATTTCATGTCGTGGTTGCTTACTTTTGTTCATGCAGGCCTTGTAGAGATCCTTGACAAGTCTAAATGGTTTCAATTCGTTTGGAGGACTCTGCTGTTCGATACTTAGCCGTAGTTGTTCTCTCAGATCATCATCGATAACAGAGTCCGTAGACACACTAGTTTTGTCGTCAGGAATAATCCTGGATTCGAGAAAGCCACCACAGGCGAATTTGTAAAAGTCATCACAAGGGTGCACATTAGGATTCATGTTTTTTATTACTTCAGAGGCTACGGTATATGTTGAGCGGATTAGTATCCGACATTCTCGAGGCGAAATAGTCATTTTTTAGTGTTCGAATGGAATGATTTATAACATTAATTTTCGCGTATAAAACATCCAAATTTATATTTTAGTTAAGTAAATATTTATATGTAAAACATCTTTGGTAAGAAAATATTTTGGAAAAAATTTATTATTATATATCGTGTCAAATGCAATAATCGATATGAAATATCTCCTACGCAATTTTGCGTACATAAAGATATAATTATATTGATCACTCGAACATATACATCGACAATATTTAGTCCTGTTAAAAAATTATATTTAAATTGAGAGAAAATTTAAATTTCGATATATATTTTACTCACCTTTGTGAATGCATTCAGGTGATAAACAAATATCATCGTATTTCGTTTCCTCTGATACCATGTTCTTTGATGTTTCCAAACTGTTTGACACCTTGGCTGTTGACGGTAGGATGTCTTTTTACGTTAATAGTATCTGTTCTCGTGCGGATACAGGCGCGATTGCAGATGCGAGGAAAAATGCATAATAGCGAGAAATTAATGGATGCGAAATATAGATAGAGCACGACGAACAAACCACGACAAAATTTAAATTGCATACATAATGAAACTCGATATGCTTTCTATCGTACTATAGATCTTCTTTGATATTCCTATCTAAAAACAGGCATTAAGTCGAACTCGAAATGTATCGTTCTCGAAGTTCTTATTGTTGACTCTTTTCCGCGA